TGCTTATCTTGAATGACTACTAGACTAATCAACGAAATGTTGTAACCACAAATATCATTAAATAAAACCTGATCCACATGAAAATCTAATTCAATTTGACACTATCACCCTATAATAATTCGACTTAGAAGTAGATAACTTTAACTCATTTCTTCCTTTCCAAGTTTTTTTTTTGTCCTTCTCCCTTTCATTTTCCCGTTTGTGGAGATTGGATTACACCAACAAAACATGGAACATGTCACTATACCAACTTCTCAATTTGAAAAAAATAATCAACAAGAAGCCTAAAATAAATATATAACAAGAGGGAGAGAGAAAGACAAACTATTGAATAATAAATAAATTGAATGAATTCATATTAAAAAAAATGAATTTACGTATTTAATTCGAATTAGAAAAACAATTAAGCTCATATTTTGTAAGAGGTTAATTTCGCTGCAGTCGCTCGATCCTAAGAACAAAATAAAAATAAATTAAATAACTGACATGTGTTATTATTCGGGGCTGGATTGGAACTGTCCTCCATTGCACAAACATTCTTGTCAATAAACGGGAACCCGTTTTTCCGGKGTAAAATGTTTCCCGCACTTTTTTTTTTCTTTATAGTTTTCTTAAATATCAAATATTATATTTAAATTAAGAAAATAAAATAGCAACGCGATTATATTTACATCATATATATGCAGACAAACGATGCAACCCTCCAAGCCCCAACTTCAACCAAACCCCTTTTTCTTCACATCACACCGGCGTTAAAGATTCCGTCCACTTCTCCGATCTCTTCTCCGGCGACTTTTCAATCTCCCTCATCGGGACGATGGGAAGAGAATGAGGAGCTAGAAGCGGCGATCATGTCCGTGTCGATTTCCAAGTGCTTCTCCGATTTACTCTGCCAGGAGGATTCCTCCGGCGTCTTGTCCGGCGAGTCGCCGGGATGTTCTTCCGACCTCGATTGTACAGCCTGCGTCGAGGAATCTATTGCCGCTTTAATAGAGGACGAGCGGCACTTCGTCCCCGGTTACGACTACTTGTCCCGCTTCCAGTCTCCGTCGCTGGACGCCGCCGCTAGATTAGACTCTGTTGCATGGATTCTTAAGGTGCGGTTTTCTTCTGTGATTTTCCGTTACGTTTCACAATCGGTCAGAACTTTTCCATTTATTACCAAAATGTCACTCCTCAGTCCTCACGTGACGGATATTGCATCGATATTACCAGAATTCGTCGACGATAACTGCTACTCAGTCCCCGGCGTAGATCCGAATCGATCGACTCGGCGTCCGTGCCGGTGGCCGTCGGCGAATCTGTTTAATATATTATTAYTAGTAGAACAGTAAACTTTTAATTTATCTCCGTCTCCGTCGCACGGTGGTTATATATCCGATTATCTCTTGCAGGTTCAATCCTACTACGGTTTTCAGCCGTTGACGGCGTATCTCTCCGTCAACTATTTGGATCGCTTCCTTTGTTCTCGCCGTTTGCCGGTGAGATTCTTTAGAGAGAGAAAAAAAAGAAAAGGAAAATCATTAGGCCTTGGATTATTGAAGATTCAATATGATCACCACGATATTCTTGCGATCATTGCTTTTTTTGTTTTTTCGTTTCAATGGCAGTAATTATATTTTACTTTTTCAACCATGAAAATGACTAGACTATGGCGATACTGAGCTACAACATATTACTAAACTCTATGTATTTTCTTGGYATTCAGATTAAGACAGCGATATTTATTTTAAAAATAAGTAATCACGTGACAAAAATACAAGTTCTCGAAATTCGAGATATTTTCTTTTGACTCACCAATTAACTTTACAGATGGTAGCTGTAGTTTGTACGCTTTAGGAAGACGTACTTTTAGACTTTTTTTGGGAATTGGGGAAATATTTAATCAAATAATAATAAGTGAATTATGAGTGAGYATTATTGTGAAGTTTCACTTTGTTATATGGTGCTAAAGTCGTGAAAGTACGATTTTATATTCATGATGGCTTTTACAAACTTTTGTTTCTCCTGCCGCGGCACATGCAATGTGCGTGCACAGTACCGGCAAAGGAACGGATAGTAATTTGATATGACGAACCACACATGAACTACCAACCGAAAATGGCGCTGGCATTTATTATTTGCTTATCTCTTCTTAATGACGATGATGTTGATTGTTAATTATCTTTTCAGCAAACAAATGGGTGGCCTCTGCAACTCCTCTCGGTTGCTTGCCTCTCACTGGCTGCTAAAATGGAGGAACCTCTGGTTCCTGCTTTACTGGATCTTCAGGTTTATTTGATTGGAAATTAATTAATTCTTCATTATCTTGGTGGAAATTGGTGGGATTTTTAATGGATTTTTTTTTTCAGGTTGAGGGGGTTAAATATATATTTGAACCAAGAACAATATGCAGGATGGAATTGCTGGTGCTGAGGGTATTGGATTGGCGGCTGCGTTCTATAACGCCGTTCAATTTCATTGCGTTCTTTGCTTGCAAGCTCGATCCCTCCGGGGATTTCATCGGCTTTCTTATTTCGCGAGCTACAGAAATTATACTATCGAATATCCGAGGTAATTATAAATAAAGATTATTGAAGCAAAAACTGTGGCTCTTTTTACGGACTGGAAGTGATTTATATGTGGTCCACAGAGGCTATGTTTGTGGAGTACTGGCCATCGTGTATAGCGGCGGCCGCGTTGCTTTGTGCAGCAAATGAAGTCCCGAATTTGTCTGTTGTCAATCCAGAACAAGCCGAATCGTGGTGCAGTGGTCTAAGGAAAGTAAGCAACCGGATTGTGATTACGTCGGGCATGTGTGTTTTATAATTATAAAAAAAAAAAAAAAAAAAGAAAAGAAATGTTCACAGGATGCCAATTTGGAAAGAATGTTTATATTTGCAGGAAAATATCACCGGTTGCTACCGGTTAATGCAAGAGATTGTGGTTGATAGTAGCCGGAGCAAGTGCCCCAAAATCTTACCTCAGTTTAGAGTGACAGTCCGCACTAGAATGAGATCAAGGGACTCACCCTCCTACTCCTCCTCTTCATCATCTTCGTCATCACCAAACAAAAGGAGAAAATTAAACCACAACCACTGGGTAGATGATGACAAAGGTAACACCGAAGAATGAGGAGTCAAACAAAAAAAAATTGGCCCACAACTTTGTCTAGAAAAGAAAAAAAAWGGGTAGAATCCTCGATATTTTTTGGGAGGGTTTAGAGGTTAATTAACATAACTAGAATGGTGAGTGTTAATTATAGTATATAGTTGTATGGAATCTCAGAGTTCGGTGAGCTGGGAGATCTCAATAATTTATTTATTTTATTTACTTTTTTTGTTGGTGGGCAATTGCCATTCATTAATGGCTTTGCAGATTCCCAAGGGGGAATGGAAGGGAAGGGGTTTGTTTGATTTTTAGGGAAATGGCGAGAGAGCGTTGAATAAGTGGAGTCGTGTAGTGTGAAAGAAAAGAGTTGGGGGGAAATTGAGGATTTCAAATTCTGCAACTGGGCAGTGAGTGGGACCTACTCTTGCCTAGAGAAGAGAAATCATCAAGTGGGCGGTGGCATATGGATTGAAGTTTGAAGTTTGAAGTCAGAGGTGGTAGCATTCGGCATTTGCATCAAAGTTTTCCCATCTCCAACAACTATATTTTGCTCCCCAAGGTATGGGCAGTAAATAAATTGACAGGTGGCTCCAATTTACGACTTTGAGTGGTGTGGTTATGCACACGCTTTTTGGTGCGTGGCATGCTCTTCTCTTGTGTCATGTGTGTGTACTGAACTGGAAGTGCATCTTTTTTTTTGGTACGGCCTTTAGAGCCAATTCGGCCCGGCCCTTCTGAGTTCTGAGTTGTTCTCTTCTCACACGTATATGTTGGTCATACATGTGTGACAATTTTTATTCTCTCTTTTTTCTTTTTTTCCTCACTTTTAATTTATTTATTTTTCACGGATCCAAAAAATCCCATGTATACGAAAGGTCTTTGGGGCCTTTGAATGCTTGTTGTATTGGTTTCAATCAATGTGATTAATTTTCACTCATTTCTCTGTCTCTATGTGACTCTGCCCATGACATGTGATTGACAATCAATAGTTTGTAGCTTTGTGAATTGGATTTAGCCCCGAGTATATCACAGCTTGAGAGCGGGCTCTCCCTCAACTCAACCACCATGGCTATTTTGAATTCAAATCAATGGGGGGAGTGGGGGAGTTATTTAATATTGGTAAGTTGTGTGGGTGTAAGTAGTACAAAAAACAGAGTGGGGGAAATTGTCATTTAGCCCTAGATACCCGACATATATGACGTATTATTTTGTAAAACCATGGCCCTTTTTATATATCCATTGGGGTAAAGGCAGCCCATGCGTTTAAGGCATCTGCTACAGCTTCTTATAGACTCCCACCACCACCACCAAACCAACCATTAGGCCACTCTCTACTCTCTACCCTTCTTGGACCACTTTTCTTTTTATTGTATTTTTGAAAAGACATAGTGACAATTATTACGGGACAATTTTCTGTTGGATGGGTACTTTTAGATTGCAACATATTCCATTGATTAGTCATCTTCTAGGACCATCATGTTGCGTCTACGAAATTTTTTAATTATTCCTAATTTCCTTGCTCCTTGCTCAAATAAAGGTAGGAATCTTACCTTAYGAGTCTAACTTGACAGTAATYGAGAAAGACCAACCATTAGAAAATTGTACTACAAAAGAAAAGAGGAGAAATCTTTTAATTCATTTTTTTCTACTTTTATACAAAAAGGAATTGGCCTCTYGAGGAGTACCTTTTCTTTGCTATGATGGGGTTTGATTATTTGACAAACTTGGCCACTTCTACAACTATATTTTGCCAATTTTGTCAAAATTATATTCATTAGTTCGGTGTCTTGCAAGTTTGTTGACATTTTAATTGCTTCACCAAGACTTTTGTCTTATCATTTCATATTAAATAATGTTTTTTATTATTTCCAGAAGGAAAAAAAAAAAAAGGGTGAAACACCATGCTTCCTATGTACGTTCTCGAAAAGTATTTATTACCTGGCTGTTGAATAATTAATATTTTGTCTCTTGCTATATTTTAAAAACTTTATATTTTGTGCTTTTGTTTAAAATATAATATAGTACATATGTACAGAATACTTCCAACCACACTAGCTATTGATTTATTGAGTTAATCCTCTCTCTACCAAATATAGATGACATCTTAGGAGAAAACACAGTTAAAAGACGGGAAGAAAATAACATGGAACACTTTTAAAATTTTGTTTTTTTCTTTATATAATTCTAGATTATCTTAATAAATATCCAAACTTTAGATCATGTCACTATCTAATGCACATTTATTAGTTGAAAATTTTGCATACATTTACTAAATATTGTGGATCCCCATAAACAAAATATACAATCGAACCGCCAGAAAAGAAAACCACTTCCAAAATCTTTTATATCATCCGATGGTTGCTATTGAATTACCATTTGAAAAGGACTCCACAAATCAATTAAATGAAATGTTTAGGAGATGGGTTCCACTAGAATTTGGACTATCCCCAACACCCATGAGAGCCACGCCACCATCTTCTCCACCAAAAAGGCAGCCATTAAATTATACATGGGCCAGGATCAGAGCCTAATGATCATAAATTAATATTATCCAGCCGAGGCCAACCCCAAARTCTTCGTAAAGGTACGCACAATAATCTCCTCTACACTAACCAAAATCTAATTGGGGTTTAATTTCAATTGGGGAAAAAGGAAATTGGAATGAAATCCCATTTGAGATATTTATATATATGGGTTTTCGTGTGCTTTTGATTGGTCCAAGTGGGCAGAATCCAGCGAATATTTCCAATAAGGCAAGGCTGCTGCATRAATAGAGATGGTCGGTCACAACATGTTTGATAAAATGCTTGAATGAGTCACATGAGAAATAGGAGGGAGAACTGAGAAGGGAAGGCCAAATCGAGGCCCTTCGAAGCTATTTGAAACCGCCAATCGTGGGAGATTGATGGTGACTTGATGGGTAAAGAAAAGTGAAACCTACATATATGAGTTTTGGATTTTATCTGCCCAATTGGTTCCCACCATCATCCCTCATCATTAATCCCAAGTAGTAATGTAGTATCTCAAAGTTTGGTAAATCAATCTATGTGATCATCTAGTGGCAGCTGGAGCTATGATTGACCCATTATATATTTATATGCATCTAGGCTAAAAACCCAATGGTAATGTTCTTGAAGAACACAACCAATCAAATCATCCCACTTGTATCCAGCTTTACCCAAAAAGTTTTCTTATGTTCCCATGATATGTTATTAACGCTTTCTCGTTGATATAAAGATGAGATTTGTATTATAAATAGAACGAGTACAACTCCCAATAATGGTAATTAAAGTAGTGAAATTCTTTATCAGAAAAATTAGTGTAGAATTTGAGTGTTAGCTTGGTGTGGTTTAGAGGATGTTTATGAGTAATAGATAGAGTTAAGTGGTAGAAGTAACAGTGAGGAGTATAAATAGGAAGAAAAAAAGTGGAGATTGCTAAATGCCATGGACTAGTTGACGTAATGTTTAGATATGATAGAGGGAATTAGGAAGGAAAATGAATGAAGGGTCCCAAAAAAATCCCCTTTTTTATTTTGGCATCTTAGCTCCTTTTTGTTAAATGGCATGCAACAGTAGCTTTAGGCAGGCCAGTAGCATATTGTGTGTTTTCTCTCAATTCAAAATGGACTTTAAAGCGAGGAATCCTAAGTTGTTAAGAAAATTCAAATAAAAAAGGCCAAATTCTCTTTTGCACTCTGATCCAATTGAAAGGTATTGTTTTGTTATATATATGTGTGTGTATATTCTCCTTTTAGTGTGGGTTTTAAAATTTTTCCAGCTTTGAGTGGTGGGGATGACAAATGTTTGGTCCTTGCAGCAAAATTTTTGAATAGTTGGCTTTAAAGTTTAAACAAAACAAGGAATGTGGGTTTTGCAGCAAAAAAGCTCATAGGCCCCTTTTCGAAGTGAATGGTTGAAAAGCTAAAATGATTCTGAAATTTCCTGAGATATGCCTTGAGATTTTTCTAAATTTATATATATATATATATATATATATATATATATATATATATATATTTGTGCTGAATGCAAGACAGCACTACTATCAATGCCATGGGGTACCCCTTTAGCCCTTTGTCACTCCCACTATTAACATCAATCTCCTGTGCAAAAGAAGAATGAAACAAAAGCAAAAGCAACTCAGAAAGAGAGAAAAAAGATTGTTTTATGTTCACGTACAAAAAGAGAATGTCACCTTATAATATTCACTCTTGTTTTAATTTCTTCCTTTTTTTCCCCCACTTAAAAATAAAATCATCTCTCTCCTCTACCCTAACATTGCAGAATCAGAGGTTTATCATAATAATTTTGGATTTACATACTTTGGATTCCATACCAAAAGGGAGAGAGGCAAAAGAAAAGAAAGAGACCATAGTGGGCTTTAATTTTTTTCAAGGGAGCGTCTGTGGGTATCATTTAGTTCTTCTCTTTTTTATTGTGTTTGCTTTTTTTAGTTTTTTGGTGATGAATAAAATAGTGCAATGTGAGCATGTGCATGGACCTGAAGGGCCATGGCGTACAGTGGACACAAAAAGGGTCTTCTCTATAATCATCACTGTTTAATGTTTATCTTCCTTACTTTCATCATCATTTTTTACTTCTCTCTCTTTTCTTTTCCTCTCCTAATTTTTATTTCTTTTTCTTCAATATAATATCTTCTTCTTTTTTTCCGCTTTCACAATTTCTAAACACAAGCTGTTTCCCATTCTCTTAATTAGGTAAATTTTGAAATGAATTGGAGATACTGGGCTGCATTTGAACGGAAGTGGGAATTTAGGTGGGCTTTTTGGGCTTGGTCCAGTTTTCAGACTGGGCCCAAAATTGACCCTCTGTGGGCTTTTCAAATGGACGGACGCCACACGAAGTTAGGGCTTAGCTTACGGGTGGGATACGCCATCCAAATCCATTCGATGGCGCTCCACGGTTGCGCTCTGCTGCTGGCCTCTGCCGTCCCTCCCGCCAAGATCACATGCTTCAACGGTCTTCTCCATCCGACATTTTCCCCTTTCCCTTCTCTCGTAAAGCCCTTTGTTAATTGTACCTCTACTTCGTCCTTCAGTTACAGAGCCACTCCGCTTCCGCCCAAGTTCGTCTACCCCGATCCGATTCCTGAATTTGCAGAAGCAGTGAGTTCCCGCATAGCGCCTTTGTCTCCTCAAATTGATTCTGGTTTAGGCGTTGATTTCGAGGTCTTTTCTTTTTTTCTTTGCAGGAAACCCGGAAATTCAGGGAATATCTATCGAAGAAACTCGCAGAGGATCGCGCGACATTTGGGAACGACCTCGATTTCGTTGTGGAGGTTTGCTCCAAGGTAATCATTTCTTTTTTTTTTTTTTAATTTGCGTGACTGTTAGTGAAAAGGTTGTAATTTTATTATTGGGTAATTAGAATTTAGAATTGCCTTGTACTGATGTTTTGAGAAAATGTGTGAGGGGTACCTGTTTGATGAAATGTGTGAATGAGGCTATAGTTTGCTTACGAGTTAGTTGAGTCGTGCTTTTGCCTTCAAATGTTTCCATGGCTTGAAATGCATTTCCCAACGGTTCAATAATTGAGCCCTGAAGAAACATCGGAACTGCCTATACAGCTACAGGGCGATCATTATTTTCGAGACAGCTTCCATTAATTGCGCTGAATTTTTCTGAACGTTTGACCGATGCTCCCATTATTGATATGCTTCTTGCATTTTTTGATTTTTCAAATCAATACTCAATGAATATTCCAATTTGAGTTCAGTTGTCCGAATTTATGTGAGCTTAACATTAATGTACGTGCTAGTTTTGAGCAGATATTTGGTGAATATTTGCATGTGGAGTACGGAGGTCCTGAGACATTATTGGTGGAGCCTTTCACCAATATGTTCATTGCTCTCAACGAGAGGAAATTACCTGGAGCGTCTTTGGCCGCAAGAACTTCGCTCCTATGGGCTCAAAATCATCTAGATCAAGATTGGACTATTTGGAACTCAAAAGGGCCAAAACCATCTAAATGATTTTGCTTCTTGTAGTTACATTTGTGAAGATCCTTCTTTTTGTATCGTATCTAGATTTTTCTGTTCTTTTTGCTCTTGAATTGAAGATGATGGAGTAAAATTGTACGTTCATCACAAGATACTCCAATACAATGTCAATTTCATTGATATCTTTGTTGCTATACAAATGGCTTATTTCTTGCAATACATGAATCATTCTGTGGCTGTGGTCTTACACTGAATTGGAAATTTGGATGCCCATTTTCAAGCTTTCTGCGAAGCTACCTTTCCACAATTGAGAAGTTTTTTTGCCATTGCCACAAGCATCTGAAATCAAASTCCACTATTCTACCGTATGAACCACTGTCGCTTGTCATGATAAAAAGGGTTTGAAACATAAAATCAGCTCGCAGCTTCAGAGATGCTCTGCAATGATGGTCTCCAAGTCTTTGACCTCCCCACAGTAGCGTTAGTTGCTGGTGTTCTGATTCGATGTCTTTCATGTTTGACTGCCTGCAATGTTTTTTCAGAGAGATTATTATTTATTGGTAATGATCTTATCTTGAATATCATCTGAAGTTGGAAATGACCTGCAGTCACAGTCATATTTGACTTTTTTCATTTTCTGTTTCAGCAATCACTTCTAATTCAAAAGGAAGCAAGCTGGGATCAAACAGTGGTTTAAATTTAATCTGGGCTGTTGATCGTTACCTGGTGGTTCTTCTCAGTCTCTTCCGCTTCCCCGCCGGCAGTTGGCATCTCCGGCTTCTCTTCCGATTCCGGCAGTGGCTTCTTAGATTTTGCATGCCTTTTTGCCCGCAACACCTTCATAACCTCTGCAAGTGGAAGAAGAGAACAACAATAGTCAAAAGCTGAAGTTAAGAAACAAAACCCTTCAAAAGAAATGGAAGAGGCATACCCTGAGTGGTGACAAGGCGATAGGCATGGCCGAGAGCAAGAGTGTCGTTGGGGCGGAGAAGCTTGACACGGGTAAAACGCACCGTTTTGGGCTCCTCCCGATTGTCTTGCTCAGATTGAGGCAAGGGAATTATAAGAGAAACATAGTGACCAGGATTAGTCCTCATGACCTCACTGGCCATCACCGGCCAATAAAGCCTCTCAATCCGGCCACTTGGGTGCTGTATAACCAGCGCCGCCGCGTCAACCGCCTGGCAATTCCCCATCTGAATCTGGTAGATTGAAAGAGGAAGAAGAAGAAGTAGATAGATAAGGGAAGAGGGATAGAGAAACAAGTCTCTTTCTATACAGCTGCTCTTTGTTTGCCAAATGGGTCTACTTGGGAGTGCAGGCCGTCCATTCATATATCTCACACTTCCCAACTAACTTAATGCAACGTGGGTCAAATTTATATCGGAAATTGACAATGTAACGTACGGAGATTAGATTATTCAAGTTTTTTTTACTTTTCTTCAATATCTTCCCTTCCCAATCCCATTGATAAAAAATTTGAACTTTTTTTTTTTAATGAAACGACAAGTCGGCAACCCGCACAGCAACCGGCTCGATGGCGAATTCCACGTGGAGAGATGCCAGAAATCGTTTAACTTTGGACGGACTTGCTCAGCGGTGTCGACGGAGGTCAATGTTTTTGGGCTGAATTAAATAGATTATAATTTAAAACTCAAACAAAAAACATAATTAAATTATTATTTTTTTCTTTTTTAAAGAAGGAACTGTTGAAGACGGCAAAGCGTGCGGGTTCATAAGATTCTCAAAAAATGGACAAAGACACAGCACCATCTTATCCGCCTGCCCAAGTCAGGGAAATTTTCTTCATACTGTGTTAAACAATTTGGGAAGTTTTTCCTTTTTCTGTTTGGATGACGAGAAAATGCTGTAGAAACAGTGAACAAAAAGTGTCTGTATTTGCAGATTCGACAACCATGGAATTCGAAATTTTAACCCTGTTCCTGTTCGTGATCGAGAACTAATCATTAATTTATTAATTAACGCAAACCCACTTGGATTATTATAATTTGCAACATAATAACCACATAACTCTTTGGAAGAAAAAAAGAATGATATTAATTTTCATGACAACGAGAAAGGAAAAAGAAGTGGGTGTCGTTTTTACCAACAATTAATGCAAATCTTTGGTTTTCAATGCTGAAGCTCTCGGTTTCTTTATGGTATTTATTGAGGAAAGGGATGTGGAACAAATCACTACAACTCTCTTTTCAATATATTTTTTTACGTTAATACATTTGTTGATGCTGAATTTGTCAAACTCTAAAAATTGGGGTTSCACGGAATTGAGCCAGCCACGAAAGAGCGAGTAGTACGATAAGAAATCTGCATAGAAAAACGAACATTTTGAAACTCAAATTAGTGAATTGTCTCTGACATAATAGCATACTTGWATCAGAGGAATGATGTTCCTTTATAGACATTRTTAGGGACGACAAGTCCATTAGGATCGTTTCGATGGGAGGTTGGAGTGGTTGCAGATTGTTAGATTTGAGTCTTATTTTTCCACTTGGGTGAACAAGCTCACTATTCTTCCCGAACTGAATTGATTGGTCCATGTAATCGTGTCATWTTYTATGCTCCAACAACATTTGATAAACAACWTTGTTAAAGCCACCCGTTGTGTTATACTATTTTTGTTTCTTTTAATTTAAAATTTGAAAATGAGTTTCATGATTAATTGCCTTTTTAAAATGGAAAATATTTAATTTTAATAATTGGTTTTATTTGTAAGTTTTTTTATAGTACAACTTTATTTGCAGGCGTTTAACAATGAAATAATGAAATAGTTTTTGTCTCAATTTAAAAATTTGAAGGAAAAATTGAATTCCTCCGAGGCTCCTACAGCTAGTTTCTAAACAAAGTTGGGAAGAAAAAGTTTATTCATTATTGGAGTTTGGAATTAATTCCATAAAATATCTTAATTGTTAAGTTACGTTCATATTAGTTTTCTCTCTCTTCCTATACAAGTAAGATCTTATTGATGTGCTAAATATTTCTCTTCCTATACAAGTAAGATCTTATTGATGTGCTAAATATTTTTTTCAAGAACAACGTAACATATGTTACACATTTTCACTAAATTAATAATTATGAGTATAAAACTACGATCAAAGTATAAAGGGATTGGAATCTTTGTTTAAGTAGATCTACCAAACTTTTTCTTGGACAATTTAAACAAGATTCGAACGATATATTATTACATATACAAATCTAAAAGTACACCAACATTTTATTTAGCAAAAAACAAACGAACATTAAAACTCATGTATAATTATTATAAAACTTTTTAACAATTGGATAATATGAATTCATGTCATATATATAAATTTAGAATTATAACACATCTTTACATACTAACGTTGGCATATTAATTATAACCTCTTTTATCAACAATGTGTCATGCAAACTCAAATTCCTAAAACTCATTTTTTTATAAATTCAGATTTGGTTAAAATGGTGAGTAATGACATTAATAATACATGTTTTGGGTCTCGAATTATGAGCTGAACATTGAGAGAGAGAAAGAGGCGATCTTTGACTCTTGTAAAATCTGGGTTTGTCTTTTATCTCTCTCTGAATTACCAGTGTTTGAAAATTGAATTAAAAAAAAAAAAGTTTGCTGAAGTAAACATCTGTCTGATTAATGAGAGTCGATGTGAAGGCATGTGATGTGTTGGAAATTCTTCTTCCTCATATTAAATAAAGAATAGGCCATTTCTTGTCCCAATGTTGACTCATATACATATATATATATATTGCTCAACTGCATATACAAATAAAATTAATGAGTAATTATTATTGCTGCCATGTACTGCATTTATAAAATTGAATTGAAGTTGGATATATTTAAGTTCAAACCCATTAATAATAATGTTATTGAGCAAGTTGCAGGTCAAATTTTGTGTCATTTTCTAAGGTTTTAGACATTCTAATGGGCAATTAAAGGAATACCCACCAAACAAATCCGTGTCCCTTGAGGTTGAGGTCCATTTTTTTTTTGTGTYTGTGGGGTTCTTCCTTTCCTTTCCTTTTCCTTTTGCTTTACTATAAATTAAATTATGTCCTCTCCTCTCCTCAACAGGACATCCTTATTATTTATACTATAGAGTTTCTTTCTTTGCATCCCATAATACATTAAAAAAAAAAACACACCTCGGAGAGAATATTTTGTTTGAGCACAAAATTCACTTAAACTAGTTGAAAATCAAACCTGTAAATGATAGATGAGCACTCCGATGTTCAAGTTAGTATAGGTTTGAAATGATTCACTCTCAAAAATAATGTCGGGATTCGCATGTACCTGAAGATAAATTTACCTTGGATATTTATATGTGTCTGATGGTTAGATTGTAACTGTCTAACGATATCTTGTCTCGAGGAGTCTAGCAGAATTACTTTCGAAATCATAGACACCTAGGATAGAGTAGTGACAATCATACCATTAGGAAGTTTTGTAGGTAGCGATATTTCCAAACTTCCATTTTCGAACTTTAGAAATAAGATAATTCGCTATGGGCAATGGTCCTCTGATMGAGTTCAAACATCTTTAAACCTAGAATTTGTGTCACTTCAGCAAATCACACGTGGTAGAAGTTTTAYCCTCCTCAACAAATTTGTTGAAGGGTAACAATTATTAGAATGGGGGTTGGGTGGAGGAAGAGAAAATTTTAATTTACTTAAGAATATATGTATCATGATCACTACATATATTATTATTCTCTAGCTAAATAATGGAGGAATAATACAATATATTTATTTACAATATATGAGCATATAATATAATGGTGGCTTTAGATAATGCAATGGAGCATCTCTTTTGTTTTGCCCTCCAGCTGATGAGAAAAGACTTTAACCTTAAAAGAGAATCCTTCTTTTTAATGCCAATTTTATTGGAGCCATCACAAACTAATTTGTGTTAGGGCATCCCCATAGCTCTTTAATCAAGTTCTTTTTTTTTTTCCATAAAAAAAACATAATTAATTAAGAAACTATTTTCAAATATGCAAAATGTTTGTTGCTATCATTTCTACATTATGTTTCTTAACAAATGATTGCGTCAAACCTTGAGTGATCTGCTCGAGAAAGTGCCATTTGTGATCATGGCCTTACCCACCAAATTTAAAATAATTTGCAAGAGCTGTGGACTGTGGACTCAACTTTTGGATTCTGCAAAAGATTTGGGTTTTTGGTTAAAATAATTCAAGATATTAAATTTATCACACCCAACTTTTTTTTAGTTCAAGTTTGGAACTTTCGATCTTTTTATCCATAAACTATGTTAACTTTTCTTAAATTTTTAATACAGTTGGTATGATTTAATATGGTATTAAAATAAAATTATTTGTTTAAAAAAGTTAAATCGTTGTAAAATTAATTATCTAGTTAAAATGATTCTCAATATAATACATTTTTTAGTACAACAAAGGTAGAGATTTGAACCTCCAATTTTTTAGAGGTAAGGATTGATATTACTAACTAGTTGAATCAATGCTCATGTTGGCTTAAATAATAAACAGTTAACCTGTTATATGAAAAAGTAACGACAAAAACCTATTACATACAAGATCGAAAACTCAGACTTAATAAAAATTTCTTGAAAGTTTAAAATTTTATTTGAAGTTCTATGAAACATGAAGATTAAATAAACACAGTATCAAAATTATAATTTAACCTATTAGATAAGAGATCTAGGAAAGCGATCTTCCCACATGAAAGTTCTCTTTCTTCTTTTGTCATTAAAACTAAGGCATTTGGGACAATAGGAGCATCCTAGAGATTCTGCCCTTTGAGATTGTCAACTTCAATTAGTTAGTTCCAATTAATCATACAAGAATATTTTCCCACTAATATTATTCTTACGTAACATTAACACCTTGACCAAATTAATGAGAAAGACAAATGGAGGCAGTAGAGAGTTGATGATGATGATCCACAATCCAAAGCTATACCAAATTCTTATCCATTGAAACCCCAAACAGGAAAAGAGAATATAAAGAGATGTTTCACCATGCTCAAGCCCTTTTACACATGCATAGATAAAAAAAATTGATCTTTTTCTGAATACCCTTTTGAGTGGCATAGTTGGTAATTTGCTTTCCACTGATGTTGTCTTTAGAAGACAAGATTAAGTTGATGTTAAGTCACCAAAGTTGATGCATCTCAGAAAGAAGGCGAAATTTGGGGGTTTGGCCACTTCTTA